GGCTTGGTCGCGTTGTTTCATAACATTGTGTCACTTTACAAGCACCACAGCCACGTTGTGCAGGACCTCAGCTATACCAGATCAGACATCATAATGCTGTGCGAGACTAGAACAATGCCTCTGGACGACATCTCTATTCCTGGATTCGAACTGCTGCATCGCAGGGACTGTATCAGGGCCACGCGCCACCCTTTTGGAACGACGCTGTACGTCAGGCATGGGCTCACCGGGCGTGTAGAAGTTATTTTTCATGAGCCAAGTGTGACCGTTTGGCGTGATGGTCACTTACACTCCTTCGTCGATGTTGTCGGCCTCTTGGTTTCCGGGCAGAGGACGGCGGGGATCGTGTTTCTGCACCGGTCCCCGCTGAGTACTATGTCAAACTTCAGGCAGCATTTCGGGGCTTGTATGCAGACTCTCCAGGAGCGAGGGGTGCAGGCGATAACAGTAGTTGGCGATTTCAACATCAACCTGCAGGATGCGACGGCCGCTTCTCCCTTGCTGGAATACATGAGTGATTTTGGGCTGCAGATCATGGTCAATGAAACTGAAGTGTCCACAGACAACGGAACACTCATTGATCTCTGCTTTAGTAATGATTCATCAGCTCAATCTTATATCACTGAGTCTGTAATAAGCGATCACAAGCCTATATGGTTCAAGCTTGACCGCCTGTAGTTTAAGAATGCCTACAGTTGTGTGCATTTAATAGCACCTCGCAGTTTTTTTTTCTTGCCTTGTGTTTGTGTGACAAACAATTTCATTCTGTACTGCCCCTCTTTCTTGTTGTACAATATGTATAAAACTCGTGTGCATACGATGCTTTCACATTCTGTTACCACTTTTCTGTATACTGTTTAGTGTTTTATTGTGTTGTGGTAAGTGTTTTAACACTTGATTAACTAGTTTAAATGATCTTATAGCATTCTATGAAGAGTTGTTTACATAGCTGCTTACTTTTTTTTGACATGATCCTATCGTAAACAACATAATTTTATTTGGATTTTTTATTTAATTAAGTTATTGGCTTTCTGGATGAATAGTTCTAGTGCTGCAACGGTATATCATGCTTCAAAAATGCTTGTGGTAAAGGCTTTGTTGACAAATATTAAATATATAGACTACTACAGGCATGCTCGTTTAAATTTTACATTCATAACCCAGTCACAGAATGAACCTCTTTGTTTGGATTTATTTAAGATACTACTGTTGATCCAACTCCGAACCAAAGGGTAGACTGCACATCTTCATAATTTGTGAGCGGTATGTAGCGTGGCCATCACGGAATATAGAGGTAAAACTCTCCTTGGGTTAAGGTTCTTCCTCATTTATTCCAATTTTCTTAATTTTTTGGAAATGATACTTAACACTTCGTGTAAACTGCAAAACGAACCCTTGATAAAGAAAACTAAATTATATACCCTGTGTAGAGAACGTAATAATATCACTTGTTTTTAAAAACTCAGTTTGCAATGCGTGTGAAAAGTCCACGTGACAGTGTTGTGACTTGGCCTTTTGTCTTGGCCTAAAATGCGCCATGGCCCCTGCGGCACGACACAGTATGCAAATCCAGAACACAGAACATAGCGGTGCTCGTTCTGATCACCTAGTAACTGGATTTAAATGTAGGAGTACGTGCGGCAGGCACGTAGTGGCTGAGCGATAGTGCATTGAAACACCAGATCTAGCAATTGTAAGAAAATATTAAGTAATGAACGCTGAAAGTATTTAAAGTGCGTCTGGCTTGCCTCGGCCCTACCGAATTCGTATTCAGCATATCCAAGAACACCGAAGTGCGAAAATAGAGCTGAAAACAGTAGTCACCGGAAAGGGGAGGAGGGCATAGGAGTTATCTGAAGCCACAGCGATCCCCGATACCGTCCGTGATGCGTACGGATTACTTTCCAACCATCAGAACTCAACTCAGCACGCCCCAAAACCCACGGGTTCAAAATTTGGGCTGGATCAGAGATGTCAAGGGGGATATTCGGCGTCCTCGGGGGGTCCTCAATGACGTTCTCGGTGCGCGCCGATAGCATCGGGACCATTCGAATCGAATTCAGAGAGCCTCAGAACCCGTTTGGCGATTTGAGGCCTTATTCTACAACTTGTTGTCCACTACAGCAATTTGAAGCTTATTTTCGCCAAAACGACCCTCTAGCGCCTAAACGGGTAGAGATAGAGCCAAACGGACGAAATTTACGCCCATAGGGCTCTACTTTGACAAGTTACCCCTTAGGAGACCATCCAATGTTTTCGAAAATTAATAAATTTATTTTTGGGCCACTTTCGTGATACAAACCCCCTCTAGCGCCCAAACGGTAAAAGATAGAGCAAAACGGACGAAAGTTTCGCCCATAGGGCTCTACTTTCGCATGTTACCCCTTAGGAGACCATCTTATATTTTCTACAATTATTATGTTTATTTTTGGGCCACTTTCGTGATAGAAACTCCCTCTAGCTCCTAAACGGCAAAAGATAGAGCCAAACGGACGAAATTTACGCCCATAGGGCTCTACTTTGACAAGTTACCCCTTAAGAGACCATCCAATGTTTTCGAAAATTAATAAATTTATTTTTTGGCCACTTTTGTGAGAGAAACTCCCTCTAGCGCCTAAACGGTGAGAGATAGAGCCAAACGGACGAAATTTTCGCCCATAGGGCTCTACTTTCACGAGTTACCCCTTAGGCAATCATAAAAAAATATTTTTTTTCTAACTTTTTTGACCTACCCCCTTTCCTTTTATACCCCCTTTCAGCCCCTTAGGGGTGATTGCCAGGATTTGCCGTAGGCGTTTCGTTTTCTAGGAGTGAACCTTAAGATACCCTGAAAATTTGAAGTCTCTAGCACATCTCCTTCTAGTGGAACAGACAGACAGACAGACAGACAGACACAAGACACGAGGTCGTTTGCATAAGCCCGCTGGATAGCTTTTTCAAAGCAGAAGGGCGGGCTAAAAAAAACTATTCTTAGCCCGAAGCAAAAAGATAGTTGTTCATTTCTAAAGAATGATTTTCGTATCAAAGAGAAACTTTTTTGCCATTGATGTTACGAAAATTCGCGAAAAATGACAAACATTCATATATTTGCAGCCCGTGGGTTTGTCCCAATTCAACTCTTATTCAATCAGATCGTCTAATGCCTCTGCAACTTCATCTGGGCTTCGCTCTACGATCAGTGACAAAATTTGTATACGTTTACCTTAATTATTTTTCATAATGGTGGTGATAATTAATGTATTAAAGAGTGGAGTAAAGATTTCAACATATTTGTATGAAATTGCTCTGAACACTGGTAAAACAAGTGTTTCATTTTGCAAGTCAATTGATGTTTAAGTTCAAGTGTGCAATTTCTCGACACGTTCTGCTGTCTAACTAGGTTAAACGTCAATTGGTGTTTCAACTTTCGACACTTCAGAAAAGTACAGCAGCTGCACACCACATGGTTCCAATTGATAAAATAAAAGTGTGTGTGTCCAAGTGTGCAGAATTGAAACATTTTCAAAACGTCTAAAATTTGCACACTGCAACTTGAGTTAAACACCACTTAATGTGCAAAATCATTACTTACACACGTTGGTGTGCAAATTGTGCAAAGTTGTTTTACCAGTGTAGCATGCTACCTAGTTTTGAATAAACAGTATGACCCACCAAGACTCCCATAGTGTTTAGTACATAGGGATGGAAATATGGAAATAAATACGTTTTTCATTTCTAATTATTGGGGTGTAACGGGAAGTTGCAAAGTGATATTGTGTTCTTGTGCACAGTTTTCTTTAATTTTTTGTAAATAAATATAAAGTAAATAACTAATGTTGTGTTGACCTTCCAGGTAAAGGTAACAGAACTTACAAACTAAAGTAAAAAATGACACATAAACAACTTTTACAAAACTGGGAAGCGACATTTGTAGGTACAGTTCCTTGATAACTTTGTTGAAACCCACTATTTGTACTTGTCATAAATGATGTAAAAGGAAAGGAAGAAGATATTCAACAACGCATTTTCCCCGTCGATTTACAAAAGCGAGCCGGAATCGAAATCGGCAAGACGGACCGACCAAGATCCCGTCAGAGGAAACGCAGGTGATCGCAAGTTCCATTTCGCAAGACAGAGAAGGGAGATCCGAGGGAGATCTCGGCCCCTCACTGGCAAGTGACGACGGTCTGCGTGCAGGGCGTGTCGGCGGCCAGCTGCACGGCGCGGAGGTTGACGATGGGCCCGGGTCCCCTGATGGCCACGGTGCAGCGGTCGTTGAGGCGGGCGCCGCTGAACGAGTCGTACTCGGGCAGCACGGCCAGCGTCGCGTTGGCCAGGCTGGCGGAGCGCGCGCGCGACAGGCCCACCACGGAGGAGCAGGCGGCGTCCGCCACCACGTCGCCGCCGGGCCCGCAGTACGAGTGCCACGCGCCGAACGAGCGTCTCGTCACGCTGCCACCGGTCCTGGTCGGGAGGGAAGCGAGGGTGTCTGTTAGGGACGCGAGGGGCGGGGGAATGCGACTCGGGGGGACTGGGGGGACTCGCACTTACCTGGCGGGGTCCAGGGACTCGACCGAGAAGCAGAACTGCTCGTCCTCACCGCCTGGGCAGTCCTGGAAGCCATCGCACACCACCTCGGGCGCCACGCACTGACCGGACCTGAACGGACATCAGCAGGACTTAGCACCTCGCCGACTCTGACGCGAAGTTATTCCCCTGCTGGTACGCGAAGCACTCACTTGGCGCAGAGGAACCTCTCGGGGGAGCAGGGGCACAGGTCGGGCTGCTCGTCCGTCCGGTCCCAACACTGGCGGCGGCCGTCGCACAGCAGCGCGGGCCTAGTCACGGCCAGGAAGGCGGCGCAGGTGCAGTTGGCGGGCTCGTCGCTGCCGTCGGCGCAGTCCACGCGGCCGTCGCACCAGCGGTGCTGGTCCACGCAGCCGACCCCGGACGCGCAGCGCACCTCGCCCACGCGACAGACTGCACAGGGGCCAAGAGTGAAACAAGCAACAACACCACAGGACTTCGTTTCCTAGCGCCTGCCCGGGACTGGATAGGCCACACA